TAAATGTCCTAAGTCTATTCTTCTATATAAAGCGGATGCTCCGCAATCGCTTCGCGCCGAGGAATTTTATCTAGGGCCGATGATCGTTGAATTTTGCTTTGCGATTTCTCGGCTCAGATACTTAGAAGTCACGACTCGATATGCATTCTGTAACATAGCTCACTCTGAAAGAATGTTTGAAATTTACAGAAAACTCCGATTGTTTATAGTGGTTTTGGAGCCACATATACCAAAAGGAAAAATTCCAGGATTTGGTCTCTTAAATTTATGGGTTCAGAATTTCTAAGTAAATGCACTTCCACATGAAAAAATGCATGAGACTCTCGGAAAACACTTTTTCGTTCTAAACCAGCATTTTGAAAATGGTGCGCGAAAAACCTGCATTAATTTCGTTACAACCTAAATTCCAACCAAGGTTTCTGTTCACTAAAGTAATTCTCGCCAAAGTCTTCTGTGCATATACATGATCAAAAGTCAAAACAGTCCAGCTTTAGTCCAACTTGTCATATCTTTGTAAAAGAAGCTTATCTGCTTTTTTTCGCTCAAATTACTTTCATGGTATTTTGTTCACGAGTATGTGTTTTTATGGGTGTTCCGCAATTTTTTGACTGGTTTGGAAACAATAGGGCTCCATCTATCTTATATAGATGCTTAGCGAAGTGAGAACCAGAGAAGAAAATTTGAGTTCTCATATTCAAAGCGCACCCGACCTAGATCTAACCGCAGGACAAGCCTTGAACTTATTTTTTGTTCTGACCGTAATGCTCATGTGAGTCACAAGGCAACATACAATACAGGATGTTTTCACTATCTAGCAGCTAAACAGCGGCAAAAAATCAGGAAAGATACCACTTGATAAGTATTTTGGGATTGCCTAAATTGAACCGCGAAGATTTATGCTTTGAAAACGGAGCAAAATGTGACTTGGCAAACAATCGTAAGTATAGTGTACGAACTTCTTTTTTGTAAATAATGCTTTACATCATTTTGAGCTTACAAAAATAACATGAACCAATTTTGAAGGCATAAATTTAAGAGCAGGCCTGCGGTCAGGTCTATGTCGGGGCGCATTAAATATGAGAATTCAATTTTTTTTTCTCTAGTTCTCACTTCGCTAAGCATCTATAAGATAGATGGAGTCCTATTGTTTCCAAAGCAGTCAAAAAACAGCGGAATCATCCATAAAAACACATTCTCGGGAGTAAAATACGCATAAAAGTACTTTTGAGCGAAAAAAAGCAGATAAGCGTTTCTTAGAAAGATATGACACAGCTGGACCAAAGCCACTGTTTTGACTTTTGATTATGTATATGCACAAAAGACTTTGGAAGCAGAGAATTACTTTAGTGGACAGAAACCTTACAAGGGAATGATCAAAAGTCGAAGTGGCCACTCCAAACAAACTGCATACCATTAGATGCAACTTAGAAAGCTGATTTCAAATCTGTCTTCCATATCTGCAGAGCGCCTTTGTAAGTGAAATTATGACCAGCTTCATTGCGAAAAACTCGTACACCAAGATTGCGAGATTAAGCACATTACTGCCCTTTTCGCTCAGCTTTAGGTATGGGCCATATGAAGAGGTCTAGCTGCATGTTTTGGTCTAGCACTGAGCCGGGAATGGCTCTGTGCGCCCAAGTCTGTCCTTTACACATACAAATTCTTACAAGGGAATGGTCAGAAGTCGAAGTGGCCAATCCATACATACCATTCGATGCATACCATTCGATGCAGCATAAAATGCTGATTTCAAATCTATCTTCCATATCTGCAGAGCGCCTTTGTAGGCGAAGTTATGAGCAGCTTTACTGCAAAAAAATCGTACACAAAAATTGCGAAATTAGGCACATTAATGCTCGTTCAGCTCAACTCTAGGTGCTGGTCATATGAAGTAACCTAAATGCGTGTTTTGGTCCAACATGAGCCAAGAATGGCTTTGTACGGCCAAGTTTGCACTTTACACGCACAATTTCTTAGCAAAATAATGACCTTCAACGGCTTATAATTTCGTCCACAAAAGCGCTCTGCAGATAGGGAAAACAGATTTAGAGTCAGCGTTTTATGCTGCATCTAATGATATGCAGCTTGTATGGATTGGTCACTTCGACTTCTGACCATTCCCTTGTTAGCTAATGGTTTTAACGGCATATAATTCCATCCACAAAAGTGGTCTGCAGATAAGGAAGGCAGATTTGGAGTCAGCGTTTTATGCTGTATGTAATGGTATGCAGCTTGCTTGAGTTGGCCACTTCGATTTCTGACCATTCCCTTGTTAGGTGGAATTATAGTTTTGGCCAACCTTCACGCTTGCCTTTCTCCAAAATTTTCGATTTTTTCCTGAATAATCAAACAAAAACGGGATCCTTACTAGTTACTGATGATAACCTGTTAAACACAAAACTGTACCAAATTTCAGATTAATTCGTTGAGAAGCAGATTAGTTACGGCAGTTTTCAGGGTAAACTTATAGTTTTGGCCAGTACTGTAACAGTAAAATTAAAACAATATAAAAGCATAGAATAGGCCGATGAGTTTTCGCGCAGCACGCGTGTCAGGGAGTGGACCCAGTACGCTTCGTCTGCAATAGCGACAACCGGTGCAAACGGCCAACGGGTGCAAAAGCGGCAACCGGTGTGGTCTGGAAGCAACTCCCGAAATGGTTTTTATTTTAACGGTAAAGTTTCGACAGAAGAAATCATCACTGTAAGAACAAAAACTTATGTGGACTCACATTTCGCAGTAAACCTTGTCAGATCAGAAAAATTGAGCTGAACATTTCACATTCGCCGTTGAAATTACAGTCGCCCATCCTATATTGTTTCAAGAAGCCGACCTAAACTGACAAAAGTAACTAACTAAACTGACTATTCGGTCAACTGCTGCGAGGATGAATTCAGTCAACTGCTGCGAGGATGAATCGTAAGGCTAACTGCAGTAGATAGTGTGCAAGAGCTGAGAGTTAAAAAGTCTCACAAGTTGCGGGTAAGTAACCTGCGGGATACGAAAATGACATAATACTGCGGACGATAGTGCTTAAAACTATACACTTTCGGTTGGCTTCGGATGCACAGGAATTGATGAGCCTGATCACAGTTTATGGTTTTTCTAACAGAAAATACTTCAATTTTTAGGAAACTGCGCTAAAGGAGATGTTATCTCCTTCTCTATAGATTCTTAAGCAACTGTGGTTATAATGGGAATATATGTTGAACTCTTGTAATTTAGTTTCTTCTGTATTTCACGTTTGTTCAGCAAAACCTCTTCCACGGTACATGATTTTTTCTTGGTGCGATGTCATACCATACCATGTAGTAATAACGATGCTGCTGACTGTTTCGAAACGCGCCGTGCATTCTGACTAGCGACAACTTTACCCATTTAACAAGGCCGTACAAATGGCAAAGATGTGTTTTCGTTGAGAACATTTTTACAAGGCGATCCGACATCGATGGCATAACTGATGCTGATCGGCGCTGGTCAGCTCAGGCCCGCCTCAAGCGACCTGAGATAAAGGATCCTTACTACGAGCTTATGTAACTCAGTCTAACTTAATCGTTCCATTTGGATTGTCGAAGAGGATTAATTTGGAAAAGAGTAGAGGGTCACATAAGTTCAAAACTTCTTACATATATCTACTGCACACAACATCATGTAGATACAGTCGAGACACCATACGCTTGTCTTTGCGCTGTAGACAGTCGTTCGTTTTTCTAGCCCTGCATTCAAATTGCGCGCACTTTGTGAATAATCGCAAGAGCATAATCATGTAATAATCTGTTACTTTCTAAGTGGCCGCTTATATGCGTGCGTAGATTCAGTACGTAGCACCTGCATTATATTTGAATGCGTACTGTAATCCTAAAATGCCTTAGGGAAAGAAATGCGTCTTGATCAATTTGCTTTATTTATTCCATACTATTCCATAGTTTGATTTAATTGAAAACACTAACAAGGGAAGGATACCAACATTATTTGGCGACTGAAGATGAGTTGTATATCAGTAAACGCATCTTTGAACGCTGATTCCAAATCTGCCTTCCTTTTTTGCGGAATAAGCTTGCGAATAAAGTTGTGGGCGTTTAAGTGTCCAAATTTATCAAGGATTAGGTGACCTAAAACTGGCGAGAAGCTGTACAAAAACACCGAAAAGTGGAAAATCATTTTTGTATCGAAATTGTTTGCAAGGAAGAAATAAAGCCGGTAAAAATCGCATAAGTGTTGTGTTAGAGCTTTTCGCTGATTTCAAGCCACTCATTGCTTGGCAAAACATTCAAACGCTCATAACTTCTTTTGGTAGCTTATTCCGCAAAAAAATGAAAGCAGATTTGGAATCAGCGTTTAAAGGCGCATCTAAAGATATACATCTCATCTTCAATTGCCAACTAATGCCGGTATCTTCCCTTTGTAAGTACAATACTGACAAACGCAGTGATGATTTCAGAATGTACCGATAAATTAAGTAGAAGCACTGGTGTATCACAATGTTCCTCTCTCAAGCATCTTTGCCGCCATTCGATGTATTCTGCGATATTGTTCGAGCAGTGCCCGAAAACATGCAACAGATGCACCGTCCTAAGCTCCCAACCATCTACATTTGCATCAGATAAGCCAAGAGCATCTACTTATAGCACCTGTTGTCAATTCGCTTTACTATTTCAGGTTGTCACGACAGACTTAATTTAAAAACAAGTTCATCGGATTTTTCTTCGCATAGATATTTCTGTGAAAATCCAACATATTTTACGCTATTGAAAAGCAAGGATAAATTCATAAAAAATAGAATTTCTGAACGAGCAAACATCGCGACCAAATCAAGCGTAGCCAGTGTTAGGCATTATGGTGTGAAACGTGGCGATGTCAAATTCTCAGAAGCTAGCCATAATGCGAAATTACTAGGTAAAAGGAATACATCCAAACAGGCGGGAAAGGAAGCTAAGTTTCTAAAGGAAAACGATTATTCGAGCAGCTTTTACAAAGCAAGCAATAAATACAACGTAAATATGTCTACGGGAGCAAGCGGCGGCTACGTTCTAAACGCTCCGAGCAATAGTCATGATATGCAAAACAGAGAGGCGCACTCACATGCACAGCTGACTGAGTACGACGACACAGTGGATGAAGACCAAGTTTCCAGTCCGAGCAGACCAGGCACACCTACTGGTGGCGATGTGCCAGACGAGGAAAATCCGTCTATCGAGGAATCAGGTAATCCGGGCAGCGATGAAAATATAGCAGGTGGGGAAGACTCTTCGGAATCAAACGGGGGCGAGTCCGGAGGTTCCAATGACAATGGGAGTGGAAACCCGGTCGGACTGCCTTCCACAGGAAAGAATGGAAGTACGAACTGGGCTGGCGGTATGAGTGAAGGTGGCGGTGCGAGCAGATCGCAAGGAAATGCGAGTTCAGGCAAGGAGTTCTTCCATTCAAAGGCAACGGAAATATACGGGCTGTCTCAATATGAGTGTAAAGGCTCCAGCGGCTCGGGTTCAGCACGCACGTTTGCCTCACATAACCCTTTGAACATTCTATTACGCTTGAGGGCAGTCTCTGTTTCAAACGTACAAAAATGCCCTGAGAATACGTTCGCAAACTGGCCCGACAACTCGAGGCACAAAGCTTTAACACTCACATCAAGACAATCTGAAACTAACGTTTACCTTTTTTATAGCTGCATCATTATTGCGCAAAGGATGTACAATACATAAATTCAGGCTGTCATGACAAGTTGAATCCTAAGACAGGCATATCAGATTGCCCTGCACTCAGACACCTCTGCAACCATACATTATATTACGCACTTATGACGGACCAGTGCCCAAAAACTTGCGGCCGATGCAAGGATGGGACTGTAGCTACGGGCGAAGGTGAGTCTACCAAGCATCGCATCTTCATGCCCCCTGATGATGTTGTTTAGAATGCGTTGACAGGGTGAATCCGAAAACAGGGAAGACAGAATGTCCAGCGCTTAGATACTTGTGTAATCACCCTATTTATCACCCTCTCATGAGAGACCAGTGCCCCAGGACATGTAATACGTGTACAACACAAGTTTTTGCTGCAGGTAATTCCACATATATTCTGCAATATTCACCAAGCATTTCAACAATTAATCACAGACTGAGCTGCTGTGCCTTTGTGTTAGATATTAGTCTTCCCTATCATAAACTTGATTCACAATAACGAGAGATTACAGTGTTTAAGTGGCGAGGCCCTCGTATCAGTGATAGTTCGGAAAGCAGTTGTTTTAGTTGAAATTTTTCACGTTGGAAATCATTCAAACATCACAGCAAAAGCCAGACGCATACTTTCGATAGTCCACAGATAGAATTCCAGAATTTAGCAACTTTAGATCGCTCTTCAATGAAGGCCTAACTTCGTTTATAGAAAATTAGAGAAAAATAAAAAGATGCAAAACAGTTAGCAAACGCGAAAGAAACTTTCAAAACCGAATAATCTCTGCAATTAGCTCAGATTTTTTTAATCTAGCGGCATTTCAACTTGAAGCCTTTCGCTCCAGGGAGGAGCAATCCACAGCACGTGGAAAACGAAAAAGCCAATTTCTCTTCCACGATCGTTTCAAAAACAACCATGTTTTGGAAGTTTTGATTTCCGAGAAACGATAGACAAGAAAAGAACTAGTTTTGAAACAGCATAGATTTGTTTATACTGAGAAATGCAAGTCAAAGCCAATCTAGTTTTTGGTGTGTCCTTTGATTTTCTTACCCCCTTCTCGTAGTTTCTGTTTCTGGCTTTGTCACGTTTGTTCTGCTCATCATGCTAACAGGAAAAGATACTTGGTGTCCACTTTTGGGATGAAATGTACACTATCACACTCGTCTTGGAACGCTGATTCCGAATATGATTTCCTTTTCTGCTAACCGTTTTTCTAAAAAAGTTATGAAGAATTTTTGCGTCAACGGTCGCCCAAGAGAAATATTGTCGAAGATGCCTAACTTCCAAAAAGAAGTTTGACTGAGGCAACGCAAAACTGAAAAACACAAAAGAACTCAATTTAAACCTATATTAACTTGTGAGGCTATCGCACTAGCCACTACACCACATCACGGCAGCAATGGAAATTCGACCATATTTTCTTTGGTACGAAAATTTTTCATAACTTCTTTTAGGGAAACATTAGCAAAAACGAAAGTCAGATTCGTAATTAGCACTCCAAGACGACTGTAATGGTATAAATCTCATCTGAAACGACCACGGACACCGAATATCGTTCCCTTGTAAGCAAAATGCCACCGAGTGCTTTGGAAGCTTTTTGTCAAATATTTCATAACAGTAGAGTAAGCTCTGCGACGTTGTCCTTATAGATAGAAGATAGATCTATCGAATGCAGAAAAAACGCGTGAAAAGGGCTAAACTAAAGAAAAAACTAGGGTTTTAACACGGTTTTTGCCAGATTTTTCGTTCAAATCAAAAAATGGGCCTTTGCGACGTTGTCAGCGTGAAGGTAGGAGCAACAGTTTCAAAATGACATACAATTTGCTAGAATTCTCAGCAACGAAAAAAAGGGTACCAAAGCCAAACAGTGCCTCGTGTTTCTAGTAGCGAGGTAGCGCGCAACGCGTGGAGACGCAGACGAGCAGAGGAAGACCAGAGCAGACGGGGCATTTGGCTCTGGTGGTATCTTCGCGGGGTCTTAAAGGCGGTGTCTCGGCAGAATGAACCTAGCTCAGATTTTGACATAGATAGATAGGAGGCCCTCCAAACATAGGTGCGATAGGGGGAGCAGGGTCCTCTTTAGGTGAAGGGGGTTTTGGCTATTTCCGACCTAAAAAGTGAAGGGGGTAACTGAGTTTTAAGATGAATGCTGACGCAAGCTTGCATGCCTAACGGTAGCGGGAGTGAAAAGAAAGAAAATAAGCGGTATAGAGGTTTAAAATGAAGATTTTCTCAATGCTTAGGCTTTCGAAGGTTATCTAACAGAAACTTTTTTGACTCGTGAAAGCTTTATGTTTCATCAGTCGACATATCATTCGAAAGCTTGAGACATTAGAATCAACGTAAACCGTCTCTTTTTTTCCAGCTCTCCTGTGAATACACATATAAGAAATCTATCTAGCTTCAGCATCAACTGATTTTATGTAATCACTTTGCGCTCTATTTCTGGGAGAAAGAGGAGAGCTAGAAAAAAAGAGATGGTCTACGTTTACTGGCAAGGTCTTGCTCTGTGCTAATGTTAGAAAATCAGGCACCTTCATTCATTCTTCACGCAGGAATTTTCTGATAAAAACACATATGTTTTTAGCTAAATGCCACGTATCTCTGAGTAGAGGGGGCTAGGAAAAAAAGAGACGGTCTACATCGAATCCTTGTTTTGTGAGCTTTCTAATGGTATATAGGTGGTTGGGTGAAAAAACTCTTGGTTTTTCAAAATAGAGGTGAAGATATTCAATACTAACTTGCTACACCCCGCTCCGGCTTTCTATGGGTAGCCGGAGCAAGACTTTTTTGGAGTGGGAAAGCTTTATGCACCACAACTTTGTGTACCATCCGATAGCTAAGAACACGAGGAATTGAAATAGACTGTCTCTTTTTTCCTAGCTTCTCTGTGAAGCGAGATACGAGCAATTTTACCCAGCTACAATATCAGCCAATTCTGGGTAATTATTTTTTCGGACCAAGAAGGTTTTTTTCGAAGTTATATATGATTTGAGCCCTTTTAGTTGTAATTATCCTCTCTAATAAAAGGAGATATAGTACGATTCTTGTCAGTAAACATGCATCCATCACTGGCTAGTCCAGATTTTCTACTCTTGCTCAACTCTTTCTGTGGCAGTGTACTCATTGATACAATGCTAATTATTCAAAGAATCAGGCATCCTTTTAATTTTTGATTGTGTTTAGTTAACAACGCCACTTTGAGTGCGCTGAAGGTCTCAAGCATGCGTTTTTCAACAAAATGCTGTTGCTTCGTTACTCTCTTGCAGTCGTGATGTCTGAGGAGAAGAGCAGCTGGCGTTTCCTTTCCAAACAAAAAGTGCCGTTGTAACAGCTGTTTGATTATGCCGCTATCTACGTATCGCATCTCTGCCTCCAAGTGAGCCAAAAAACAGCAACTCCGCGCCGAAAATATGAACTCTGCAAGCCAGGAGGGCGGCCCAACCGCCGCTTCTTTTCCTCCTTTCGCTCCGCTAACACCTTGTTTGCACGAGTATGTTCTCCTCTAGAAAACGCGCCCTCACTCGTCACTCAAATGTTCTAGCGCTCTCTACCTCCTTACCCTACGTCTCCGACGGCAGAGAAAAACGGCTCACTCGTTCGTGCCCGTCTCAAGGGGGGGGGGTTCCAACGGACGGGGTTTTCCCCATTTTCGCGCTAAGAGGAGTTCATGTTGATTCAGGGGCCGAAAAAGCCCCAAATCTGCCAAAGCCCCGAAGTTGAAATTCTGCCGAGCCGCTGCCCTTAAGGAGACCCTGCAACCCTGCAATCCTGCAAACCCTTATATATCATTCTGATCATCATGACACGGCTAGAATCACCGACAACATTGCAACTATTGAAAATCGTTTCTTGGTAATTTTCCGCGTAAAATTCGAGCGCAATTTCGTGTCTTTATTGGACTCCAGCCGCTCTGGTGAACTTTTGAAAGTCAAACTTGAACTAAATACATTATAACGGAGGAATGTTGTGGTAAACTTCATAGAAATTTGCAAAAAAAACCCTCGTTTCCTGCATAAGATAAACTACAAAAACGCAATTTTTCGGTTGTGCTGGGATCTTTTTTTTTGGGGAAATCAATCACTATAACTGTTTATTCACACCTAGTCTAATTAGTCATGACTTTAACACCCGAAGCGAGGCCCCGAATGACTTCTTTTTTTTCTGGCGAAGGTTGTCTTCTCTTATGTCGCTGAAAGTGGAAGTCATCAGAGTCCATGGCTCCTTGTATCGGAGATATGGCCCAGACGGCTCAGACGTAAAAGTAAAAAAATTTGCTCACTTACTCACACCTCAAAAGCTGGTAAACTACATCAAAATGTGTTTCGCGGATCAAAGAAAAGCGCACTGTGTGTAGCGTTAAGATTAGCCATGATACTCCTCGAGACTAAAGATACGTATAAGTTATCAGGTTTAAGGCTAGAACTTCCCACAACATGTGGAATTGCTGAGCTCAAGTGCCGCAGCATGTGCAATGGCCAAAAGAGCACATTTTCATAAGTTTGTAGGCATGGCGTCTCAAAAGCGCAAATGTTGCCGGCAATTTCAAACATCGCGAGAATATGAGCTCCCCTTTCCCCTTCCCCTCCTTCCACCGCACTTCGACTAAGGAGAGCCTAAGGCCCGTATGCACGTACATCCCGCTGGGGAGCGAAGGGGATCTGAGAGAGGATGCGTCATATCTCGCGACTCTAAGTATCATTCTTCTTTTTTCTCCATCTTGATTATAAAGGCTCTCATACACTTATATCTGCGCATAATGGGTGCCAGGTTACTTCCATATAAGGTTGGTTTTTGCCATTCTGTGTGATTCCCAGGGGATCCCCTGAGGATCACCTCTCATTTTCAAAGTGATTTATCTTCCTGAAAAGTCAATTAAAAGGCTGCAAAATTATAGTGTGGATACACTACGGCACTGCTAAGCATATTTTCGACAGAAGAAATGGAATCTGAAAATTGTGAATTTTCAAATGATCCCTAGCTCGCGAGCTAGGGATTATCGAGGATTTCGATATCCCGAGACACTTATTTCTACTATAAACACCTTTAGCAGTGCCGTAGTATATCCACAGTACAATTTTTTTTAGTTAAGTTAAGTTTTCAGAAAGATAAATGACATTGAAATTGAGAGGTAACCCCCTGCAGATCCCCTGGTGATCCCCAGTGGATCACACAAAATAGTGAAAATTAAATCAATTATGCCAGTAATCTGGCATCAATTATGCGCAAGTATTAGGGTATGAGAACCTTCATAAGCAAGATAGAGAAGGAAGAAGGAAGATACCTAGATTAGCGAGATATGACGCATCCCCTCTCAGAACCCGTCCCCTCCCCAGCGAGGATGTACGTGCATGCGAGCCTAAGAGTTCATTCATTGCCGCGGAGCCTGTAGCGAAAATATGCAAATACACGAAAATATGGTAATCTCGTGACTAGTACTAGACAGAATAGCGCATTGATGTCATTGACTGAGAACTAACTAAAAAAAGTTCGGTAAAATCAAAACGCATCCAAATTTAACCTGAATGAATATTCTTTAAACATATGATGAGGCAAAGCAAAGCAAAAAAGTAAGAGGACTGCCAATTCTAAACGAATACTCTCTACGATGCGAACGTGCGCAGAAAAATAATATCGATAAAGCGCAAGACTGCGGGCTGGTATAGCCATATCTTCGTTGCCTGCGCTGCCGCGTGCAGCCTAGTATGAATGAACCTGTTGAACCCACGGTCGCTGATCGTGATATCAATAAAAGCAAGAGGAAGGACGAAGGACATAGTTCAAAAGTGGCTTGTAACATCAATTTTATGTCGGTTGGCAATTTTTGATAGCAACCACTATCAAAAATCAAAGACGCTATCAGAAATTTGGACTTGCAAACGGGGAAAGAACTAATTTAACTAACATTAACAACTAACAAATTTCTGACACAACGCGAAAATTTACAAATGTAGGAGAGAGATATAAAGATAATTTCCAACCCTGTCACTCTAAATACTTTACTAAAAAAATCTCAGCGATTTTTGCGCAAAAAAAGGAAGAACGTTATTCAATACATTCGTAGCTCAATCCTCTTTATCAATCCTTCTTATCCGCAGCTCCGGAACTGTCGTTTTTGCGCGTCTCTCATCCTCGGACATTAATTACGTCCATTTACTCATAAGCATCTTAGGAAACTTGATTTTCCGCTTCTGCACATTCCCTCTTCTATTCAAATTACGATTTACCTTCAGCTCATATGCAGCGCGATGAGGAACTTCGGCACTCAACCGTGTGGTCCCGCTTAACATGTCGTTTTGGCATAGGTGGTGTAAAACTTGCGAAATTGTACTGAGAGACTGACTGAACTGATGAAGCCGTGATAAACTCCGCTAATGATCCGCTAAATGGGGTTTATTGCTATATATCTATACTATATATCTATATTAGCAGATCTATTTGCCTATACAGAATTTCAGCCTGTGATATGCTGCGACCGCGCTCGTATGGTCTCCTTTCAGATATCTCATGGAAAAATTAGAAACTATGTATCTCCGACAATACCGCGTGTAATGATGAAGCAGCAAAACGAGATCCGGTGCCACAAACTGGTGAATATACTGACGCAAAGCATAATCTATTATTATCGGAAATCTTCTTGATTTGCATAATGTACTTTTTCTACATTCGAGTCTTACTAATTAATGGGATCCGAGTTTGAAGCTAGCAGCCTTTTCTTTTCGGAACTCGTTTTCTAAAATCTTTGGAACTAACTGTTTCAATAATCAAGCTCAATTTCAGAATGTAGAGATCTTGCGAATCCACTGACTGGCGTATCGGAATGTAAATCCAAGGCTCATTTGTGCACAAGTCTTATCTACAGATTTGTCATGGAAGTGCAGTGCCCGAAAACCTGCAATTTTTGTAAATGAAGCGGCTGCTTCGTTTCAATCTATTCGCACGCATGGCCTCTGATCTGATTTTCTCTTACTTTTGTAAGCATTGATGCCAAATTTGTTGATACCAAGTTGTCATTTAATTAGAAATATTTGTGTCTCGTTTGCTCAATACATCGCTATAACCACATTAGACGCTTAACAATACATTTTGAATCTGTTATTTCTAATTGTCATTTCAATCTAATACTTGACACTAGTAGTAAAAATGTTTATCAACAAAGGTTTAAGGCAATTCCTTTTCTGCCTGTTAAAGAATTTATAAATCATATAGTTTTCAGCCGTAGGTTTAAAAAAATGTGACAGCAACTTCGGCTGTAGTCTTTGCGTTCATCCAAGCATTACATGGTAACGGAATTATAGCCAAATTCTGACATCTCACTCATAATAATGGGCTAAAGGTTGTTTACATTTGTATGACTGAATCTCTGCTCACGAAATTTATGGAGCGAGCTACAGCCAAGGTGTCAAACCGATTTTTTGCAGAGCGCTGCACCAGACATGTAAGTTCACTAGTTCGTGTGTGTGTGTGTGTGTGTGTGTGTGTGTGTGTGTGTGTGTGTGTGTGTGTGGTGTGTGTGTGTGTGGTGTGTGTGTGTGTGTGTATATAGTACCAGCATGAAAGTCCATCATGCAAAAGGACGTGCGGATTCGTTGGGTAGATCCCTCAGAAAGTAAACGTCAGACGGCTCCATTTTGTCTTTGGCCTGCAAATTGAGTCTGTATCACCATTTTTTGCACAGTCATGAATGCATTTGGCATGCTAATGTGTAATCAATAGATATACAAGGCTTATCAAACGCAGTGTAGCTTGCATCAGCATCTCCCCTCCAACGCTGGACTCTGCATCTCTTCCGCAAACGTGCTCTCTAATCACTTCCAATCGAATGAGGCTCCGCCTTTCCCACGCTCGCCCTGGGAAAGGGAGCATGTTTGCGGAAGAGACTCAGAGTCCAGCGCGGGAGTGTAGATGCTGGGGCGACACCGGGTTTGAAGCCTTGTATGTACTTCTCTCGCTGCTGCTCAGAATAATAGAATGTAACTTCTTAACACGTTGGCGACAGTGCCGCGCAATGGTGATCGACAGGCAGTCCGCGTTGCGCGGTACCCTAAATATCGATTGCGCTGCGCTCAATCGTTCTAATTTCTGTTCGTGTAATCATTTTAGGCTCAAAGGTACTTTATGTTGGCCACGCATATCAAAGGACATGGAAAGGTCGCCGTCAACATGCTAATTTGCAATACAAGAGCTTTCTTCGAATATCGTGTTATAAAATCATATATGACCTTTGATCGCGGACATTATCGTTCTACTTTCTGTCGAAGAGATCTCTCGCTGCTATTGCTGCTGCTGTACTTTCTCTCGGTGACAAGCGAAAGGAACGGCAGTGGCCCCTCTAAGGCCCATATGCACGTACATCCCCGCAGGGAGAGGATGTGCGTTTTACTACCGAAATGATCCCCGCTGGGCGAACCCTCGTATGCAAGCAGACAATATCGACGAAGGGATCCCCTGGGAGTAGGGGAAGGGAACCCCCTTATGCACAAGGGGATCGAGCGAAGACACCACTTTTCTTTCGCTTTCATTTGGCGTTTTTTTTTTTGTATTCTCATCTTTTGACGACTGCTTATCTTCAATTTTCGTCATTGGCAATGATTTAGGCGTTGCGGAATGCGCATCTGCCGTAATGCGCTCGGCACACTAAAAATTATAATTTCTAGGCCCAATATAGTCCTGCTGTTGTCATGATGCTGCTCACTTTCGCTCATGCTGCCCATTTCAGCGTAAAGGTGTTCAACAAGAAGTCAGATCTCTCTGCAGGGGACGGGTGGAAGAATTTACCCTGCCGAGAAAAGGGGAGGGGGGAACTAACCAGCATTTCTACGCATGACAGAAGCTGCAAATTGTGCCAGCTCTCCATGAACGCTGTAGCTATGACCGACCTATCATCCTTTACCTCAGGGAAATGATTCCCAGCGGCCATCCCTGCTACGCACGAGGGGAACGCTGGAGAGGAGATCACTCCCCCGAGGATCTCTACTCAGAAATGGGCAAATCTGCTAATTTTCATTTTTTTAAAGCAGCTTACGTTAGGATAACAAGATAAAGACATCATATCATATAAAATGATAGTTACAATGTGTGTACCAGTCTTCATGGATATCTAGCATGTCATATCGAAAATGCGCAAATCTCAATAATGTTTAGAAAGTCCTACAGACATTCGAAACTGGCAGATATATGCCCAAGTTTCTTCACGAGAAGCGAATATAGAAGAAAGAGACAAAACTGCAAGCTACAAGTCACTGAGAGAGGAACCCGGCTACCATGAAAAATCTTTCACCAATTTGAACGAAATGCTTGTAATAACTGATTGAAACCAGATTAGTCGCTTCTCTGGCAAGACCTACACCATCGAACCCCTACTCCGTTGTAGGGGATGTCGCTCCCCTCCCCCGCGTTGTTGAGTTACACTCGTGCATACGGGGATCGAGTGGGGAGGGGAGAGGGATCCCCTCCCCCACGCGAAGCCCGTATGCACTGGGGTTCGTTGGATCAATACCTCGGAGATTCACACCATCCTCGCTGAGGTGCAGGGGAGGGAATCGTTCCCCTCCCCTCTGTCATGGCGGGGTTCAGTGGAAGGGACCGTTCCCCTGGGGACCCAACTCCCTCCGCTCCCCAGCGGGGACGTACGTGCATACGGGCCCATATCTCGCTTCGATTTGGACGTATTCTAAATCTAAAGCCACCATTCGATTCAGCTTGGCGCGGAGAATTTTCTGATATATTGGAAGTGGGGATACGATAGGGCCTAAAACAACTAACAATAACAAAAAACCAAAGAAGTAGTTTTTATTATACGGAATTCTTGATCCTCTTCGAGAGGGCAATGTCAACTCAAAATTCGGGCTGCCGAAATCTACCATTAAATGTGGCTAGAAATTCTTCTCAGAGTGCAAATGCACCGATACTCCAAAAAATCCCATCTCTAAAAGCCTTTTCTGGTAAGGACACCAGACAAGTCTTTTGCCATAGGAAAGAAATGAGCGCAAAAACGATGAATAGATGGAGGCAAACAAGAAATCAAAATCTAGACCGAGGGTTAACTGTGGCCTTATAGTTAGCCCACATGTTTCCAACTCGCAGCTGCAACCATTTGATCAGCACTTGAACGAGTGAGAGCAAATGTTTAGCCGTTATGCATGCTCTCATATATGGTATTGGAAAAGGTGCTTGTAGTGTGTTTGCAAGATGTTATTCACGTGAAATTAGCTTCAGAAAGCGCCAAGAAATGAAGCTTACTGCTCATTTAGAAATTCAGTTCTCCCCTTCAAACCATATTTGTAAAAAGAGCATTGCTTATGAGCACCTGACCTGACCGATAATCTATTTCCATTATTATGGCCGAAAGCTACGGAAAATTTGCCTGTTCTTTTCTTTTTTCTGAAGGATTTCGAAGAAAATTTATTTTTCACATATTAATTCCATATGCCTTCAGCAATGGTTCAGCTTCGCTGTCCATCAGCATTTGTCGTCTTCGCTGTCCATCAGCATGCATGCTTCAGTGAAGTCGGGTCTCACGATATAATTCCGACAAAGAAAAAGGTTTTTAGACGTCTTCATTTCCTACCATTGCAAATATTACCATATAAGCCAGTTATTTCATTGAAGGTGACTAAAAACCGAAAAAAATATATCACAAGAAACAAAAAAGAGCATTGCCTTTTGTAGAAGATCATCGTAAATTGCTTGTGTAGTTCACTGCATTTACGATGGGTCCAGTACTCTGCTTGTTTCTCACGTATCCCAACGTTTTGCAATAAAGTTTATTGATCTGATATCAGGACTAGGCGTTTCTCAGGCTTCTCGAGCATTGTTTGTATTAGGCTCCCGCCAGAGTGCCGAAGTTATGCCAGCGCTACGCCAGCATTTCGATCGTTGGGGACGTCAGCTAGCCCCGCCCCAACGAAATACACGTGTATCGATCGAAATGCTGGCGTAGCGCTGGCATAACATCGGCACTCTGGCGGGAGCCTTAGCATCGCGCGAGATCGAAGTGAAGTTCACTAGAAGCTTAGGGAATAGAGTAGTCAACTTGATGGAGTTGTGCTTTAAGCGGTTGACCGAGATGGACCATCTTGGTCAACCGCTCAAACCATACTTCCATTAAGTGACAAGCCATGCCAAGGTTCAAGGATAGCCGAACATGGACAATACTGAGAGTAGTCAACTCTACTTCATCTTTCTGATGAACCCGTAAATAATGTGGCGTCGTCTTTGTCTTGTTTAGAGAAACTGGAATTATTCGCCTTTAGGACAGTGTACGATATATCAAAGTAAACGCGTGAATAAAACCCCCATCATTATCACTTTCAAGACAGCTCGATTTGCGTGTTGTGAAAACTGCTGATATGTATGTATATAGGCCGTACCAGCCATCGTCGGCGGCAGAAACGCTCGAGATGAGGCTACGCACGCGCGTCGCAAGCACCGCAAATAGTACTGGGGCGCGGAAGTCGGCCTACGATTAGAATTCTGAATCAAATCAACTTGCTTATATTACTTGTTTCTTTTTATTGCAATAAGCTTCCCAGAGTGTCAGTTGAGCTTTCCTTTTCATGTTTTTTTTTGCGTGTGGGCATATTTGAGTTGCTCATGTTAAATAACCTAAAATCATTCTCGCTAGCTCCCTTTTCTACTTACATATGGCCGACAAATTATACATCTTCTTTTCGAGCACTTGCGATTTGCAGTGGAATTTCAACTACAAACTGTCACATCCAAGAAGAAGCGTGAATTTCAATGCATTTATATTAGCGGTATGTAATCACCTGAAATGAGCATTATCGGTTAGAAAAACCCATGGAAAGAAACGAAACGCCATGTAAAATGGAAAAAAAAACTTAAACGAGATAATTTGCTTCCTTGCCCCAGTACCATTTCCGACACTCTTGCGAAGCCTCGTTTCGAG